AGAATTCAGGGATTAAACCCACAATTTTAAGATTAAAGTCAGAATTCTTAGAATTCTGAGATTAAAGTCAGAATTCAGGGATTAAACCCACAATTTTAAGATTAAAGTCAGAATTCTTGGTCAGAATTCTGAGATTAAAGTCAGAATTTGAGAAAAATTTCAGAGACCTTCTCAGAATTGTGTCTTTAATCTCAGAAATCTGACTTTTTTTCCACAGAATTAAGGAAAAACAAATTTGCACCGTGGCCCTAATCCTCTTCCATAAAAACAAACAAACATTGTCTCCGTTTTTTCTTCTAAAAAACATGAGAAACACAAACTACACACAGGCTATGAATCGTGTAAAAACGACTACAAAATGTACCAATCGAGCTCCGCCGACGTGATGGACACGAAACGGTCCTCACGGCGACGTTGGATATTAAAAACGGCGGTGAGTGAAACGCCCCTTTAACCAACCGTGACGCGTCCGCCTCCAGGAATAAGCGTTTACGTCTTTATGTACAAATCATAGCAACAATTCACCGAAGCGAGTGGCTTTTTTAAACTCTATAAAAATTGATCTTAACGTGCGTATAGTTTTTTTTTTTTAAAGACGACGAGGGTTCTCGTTCGGAAAAAGAAAAAGCATAAAAGCAGTTGTTCGACCGCTCTCCGCACTGAGGAATCAAACATTTGTAAACTGGTTTTAGGAATACTGATTTTAAAAACGCTGCAGAGTATAAAAGGGGCTTTTAATTTGAAAGCTGCAAACAGGAAACAGATCTTCAGCTTTCCTGCTCTGGAAACCTTTCGCCCACTTTCAGGCACTTGAGGTTTTCCAGCATTGACTATTTTTTTTTTTTTGCATGTGTGAAGTTTGTTTCTTCCCTAAAAACAAAAAAACAACCTAAAATCAGCATTTTGCCTTTTTAATAAGTTCATGTTGCTCCGCTAAATAAAACAAATTTCATTAAATTGCATAACACGAAACTCTTACATGTACAGCGTCAATGCCCGATAACTGACTATATGAAATACATGCATAAAGAAAACTTTACTTATCCATTAGAAAGAAAGAAAAGTTAAAAACAAAAGCAATAAAACATTTTTTTTACACTTTAAAACAACGTCAACAGCTTTAGTTTTTATTTTGTTCGTGCTCTTGTAACAGATCCAGAACTGGACGCAGCCGGAGAATCTCCGGAAAAGTCCAAACCGGACATCTTTATTTACAACGCTTCGTCGTCGAGAACCGAACTTTATTCAACAAAACGACGCTCGCTGAATTATTTTCTTTACGGCTACAGTCGTGAGGAGAAACGGGACAATGGTGGGAGTTAAAACAGTATTTTGTTATGACAAAGTGCAATTTTTTTTATTTTATACACGTATAAAACAAAAAAAACGTTATTTACAGACCTTAATATAATACGCATGACCAGCTTGTTTTTTTACGTACAGCCCACAAAAAAAAAAGAAAAAAGTTGACAATCGATGAAGCCAATTTGAGTAAAAATGTGCCGATCTTAACAAAACAAGGCCGCGCTCACATCACACATTTTCACCCAAACCCATTAATAAAAAAAAAAAAAAAAGCTAAAGTTAAAGAGTCTTTGTGTTTGAGGAACCGTCGGATATCGTCCTGAAAGAAGCGCTCGTAAAAATAATTTTAAAAAACAAAAACACCGTGAATTTTTTCTCCTCTGTCGGACTGCAACGGTCTTCCAAAAAAAGGAAAACCACGGTGTGGGACTTTATTTTATTATTTTTTGTTCATCATCTCGTTTATTTTCAAACTAACACAGAAGTAAAGATTTTATTTTAAACTGTACATATCACTATATTGTCTCTTGAACAGCTTATATAAAGTCTTAAAAATACCCCGCCTCTTTACCGGAGGCCTCTTTACCGGAGGCCTCTTTACCGGAGGCCTCTTTACCGGAGGCCGCCCTTCTTCTTGTCGTTTTCGAGTCAGTGCTTCGCCTGGAAACAGATTTTCTCGTGGCTGTTTCCGGTTATGAGTCTGGACAAAGACGAGTCTTTATTCCGTCTGTCTTTGGGCAGAAAGTGAGTTGTTTTTCTGGTTTTGGGGGCAGGTGTGAGGGACGGATGTTGGAACCAGACTCCGGTTTTAGTTGTTGATGGGCTTGTTCCTGGACGTCCCGTCTTTGCCGCTTGATTTGGGCCATAGTTGTTGCTGTAGCTCCTTCACCACCCTCTCCAGGTGCTCCCTGGCCTCCCGCTCGTGCACCAGGTCGGCCCTGAGCTGCTCGCGGTCGGCCTCAGCGTGCTGCAGTTTCATCTGGAGGTCCTCGATCTGGAAAACACGAGTCAAGAGTCAAACCAGTCGCTGTGAGATGAAACCTCCGACGCCATGACAGGCGGGCGATAACGTACGTCTCTGAGCACGTTTCTCACTTGGACGCTGGCTGTTGGCGACAAATTGCGGAGCATTAAACGACTCTGGCAGCCATTTATGAAATTGCTTTAGTACCAATTTAGTGATTCCGATAAAAACCTCCGACTTGTCGCCAACAGCTGCCAACCAGATTCAAGATATCTACTCGACCTCAGCAAACACAAACATGGATAAACTCTGTGAGCATTCCTTGTATTGAGGTAATATTTGGTGTAGTTGTAGCTGAGAGTCACCCCGAACACACAATGTGAGGGTTAATGGATCACCCAACAGCTTTGGAACATTAGTGTTGCAAGGTGGTGGACGATGCGCATTCCTTCAGGAAAAGCTGGTTTTATTGGTAAACTACCATCACACTGTACCGGTGGTTCAACATCAACACGTAAAATGTGACAATTAATGGTGATTTTCTGAAGTGGAACAAGTTTCCAACGGTGGCGGCGTTACAGCAGATCCTACGAGTTTTTAAAATTAAAGCAGCTGAACTTTGTCCCTGCGGTGGAAGACGATTCACTTCTCACCTGAGGTGGTTTTTCCAGTTCAAGAGCAAAGTCCAGGCTGTTCGCACGTCAAAAACCAAGTCCAGGTAAAGTGAAGCTAATGCTTTGCTGCAACAATGACATCACCAAGTACCAGAGGTCCACTGTTGCCTTTCTTCGTCTACATGTTCTCACGAAACACAAGAGGCGAAAACGTTCACGTAAAAGACCTCAGCTAAAGACGTTCCACAGATAACTGTAGATGTTTGAGGAGTTTACAGTAAAAACATGGGTGGTTGGGTGCAGACGTCTCTGACTGGTAAAACGTGGTCGGGACTTTGGTTATAAAATGCTAAAAGACTGGTGCGACGACATGTGTCTTTTTGGAACTGTTCCCTCTTTAGGGGTCTCAAGTCCTCTGTGTCCTCTGTCCTCACTCCATCTCCATGTCCTCTTTGTCTTTTTCCTGGCAGCTACATTTCTAACATCCTTCTACCAGTATACCCACTGTCCCTCCTCTGGACATGTCCAAACCACTGTCCCTCCTCTGGACATGTCCAAACCATCTGTGTGTCCTCTCTAACTTTATCTCCCAGTTGTTCAACCTGTGCTGTACCTCTTTTGATCTCATTCTTGATCTTCTCCATCCTTGTCTCTCCTGAGGAGAACCTCAACATCTTCATTTCTGACACTTCCAGTTCTGTCCTGTCTTTTTGTCCATGTCTCTGTCTCCAGACCATACAACATAGCTGCTCTCACCTCTGTCTTGTAAACTTTTCCTTTGACCTTTGCTGACACACTTGTTGCAAATCACTCCTGAAACTTTTCTCTATCACTCCATCCTGCCTGGACTCTCTTCTTCTCCTCTTTACCACACTCCCCATGTTCCTGGACAGTGGACCCCAAGTCCTTGAAGTCCTGCACCTTTGTGACTTCTGCTCCTTGTAGCCTCACTGTTCCACCTCCTCCCTCTCATTCATGTCCCATGTCTTACTACGGCTGACTTTCATTCCTCTTCTTTCAAGTGCATACCTCCACCTCTCCAAGTTCTCTTCCACCTGTTCCCTGTTCTCACCACAGATCATAATGTCGTCTGCAAACATCATAGTCCACGGGGATTCCTGTCTCACCTCATCTGTTAGTCGGTCCACCACTCTCTTGTGGAACTTTCCTTTGTTAATGCAGCTTTTTATTCCAGCTGGTTTTACTATCAGACTGGAACTGATCTTGGATTTTGTTCGACACCCTTCAACAGCACTTTGTTTCTCTTCCTGTCTGCATTAAAAGCTTCTGATCCACGTCCGCCTGCCGTCTCTGCAGGCTGAGAGAAAACCTTCCCTCGTTTGGTCTAATGTTGCCTCTGAAGGGAAACTGACGTCTCTTCCCGTTTCCTCTGATGGCCATCTATCAGGCTCTTCTCTGCACTCTGAGCTTTTTAGCGGAAACCTTTTTTTCTTTACCTCTTCTGCTCTGAAGCATCACTTCTGAAATGTTTATAAACTGATGTTATTGTTTAAGGTTTTACAGACGCGTCGTGAACCGACCTGGGCCGAGTACTTGGCGCGGAGGCGGCCGGCCTCGCAGCCTTTATCGCAGACCCGCAGCTGCCGGGCCCGCTCCAGCTCCCTCTTCAGGCGGATCCTGGACTCGTTCGCCTCCTTCATCTTCTTCTCGCTCTCGGCTCTCAGGCGTTCGATCTCCTTCCTCAGGTTACGCTTCGCCTCCGTCGCCTCCCGCAGCTTCTCCTTCTTCGCCACCCGCAGAAACTCCAACTCCTGCAAGGAAGACGTGAGAGACTGCGTCAGACACTTTTGCACATTTTCCTGCATTTACAGGAACTCCCGTGTCTGACGAGCGGAGAACTTCATGGACCTGCTCTCACCACAGATCTCAATGTCATCTGCAAACATCAGAGTTGTTGGAGCAGCGCTTCAAGCTGCTGACACCAGAGATCAGCAGCGTCACTGTTTGCTCAGAGCCAGGGGTTAAGACGGAAAGTTTCCTTCCTCTGATTCACTGAAAGATTGCACGTGTCGCCGTAACACGCCCGGCGCTTCTCGTGGGAACCTCGGAGTCTGAACAAAACCCGTCCGTCATCGAGATTAGTTTGTTCTCAAGCGGACTGCGCTTGAAAAACCTCAGCGTCTTCAGTCCGCTGCTGGTTTGTTGCAGCCGGCTGCTCCGGATCGCAGCTCGCTCGCCCACGCAGACTCCGTCGTCGTCTTGTTCTCGGTCCAAGACCTAAAATAAAAACTGGAAGTCTGGACTTTCCCTTTGTGCAACATCCGCCCTCATTGTTAGAACCCAGCAGGCATGATGTGTGCCTGCCTTGCTCTAGGGCACATTGCTTCTCCTCTCGTGTGACGACAGTCCAAACTCTCAAAAACTCAACAGAACCTCCTTCAGCAGCAGAACTCTGTGGTTGTGCAGGAAGTTTGGTCCACTCAGCTTTCTGAAGGTCCACCAGTGTTTCAGTCAGGTTGAGGTTCTGGACTCTGACTGGACCTTTGCAGCACCTTGGTTCTGTTGGACTCCAGAACCCTTTGGTCCACAGAGGACTTCCTGGTCCACTCGGTGACTGACAGCTGGGAGGAGCTGTTTGCTGCAGTGCATTCTGGGTAAACATCTCCACTTTGGTCTGATGGAACAAACCCCAGTTGCGCTGCCATGTTGTTTTTGACCTTTAACCTGCTAACTGAGGTCCGTAGAGTCTGAGATGGAACACGTTTACCTGAGAACTGCATGGTCTGACCTTCAGGGTGAACCTTCAGTGAAGAATGGTGGCCATCTTGAATTTCTTCCACTAGTTGCTAATCTTTCTCTCTGCAGAACGATGGACTCCAGATAGTTTGGAATGATCTTTGACCCTTCTCAGGTTGACGGGCAGCAACAGCTTCTTCTGAGGTCATTGCTGATGCCTTTCCACCTTGGTGTTGTTACCTGTCGGCTCCAGAGCAGCAGAACCTGCTGCTTTTCTAAACATGGTCCAAATGATGATGAATCATCTGATCAGCAGCTCCTGACCGATACTGAACCAAAGATCTGATCACGTCTAACGTCCTGGTGTTTAAAACCCCAGAACTGAAAGCAGGTGGTCTGTGTTTTTATTAAGGTTGTGTGTTTAAAACCGACCCGTGGACCCGACATGTACCGTGTAAGCGTCTCACCTGCTGCAGGCTGCGTTTGGCCTGCAGGGCCGAGCCCAGCTTCTCCTCCTGCTTCACCCTCATCTTCACGATCTCGTGCAGGAACCTCTCCTTCGACTCTTTGGAGTCCAGCCCGCCGTCCAGCGCCTGCCTCAGGCTCTCCAGCTCCGACTCCAGCCCCAGCTCCGGCAGCGTCGCCGTGATGGGCGGAGCCGCGGGGGCGGGGCATTCGGCGGGCGCCGCTGTGCAGACGGGCCCCTGGACGCCCGGCGAGCTCAGGTCCTTGGCAGAGCTGCTGGAGGAGGCGAAGGACGGTGACGACAGGGAGGACAGCGACGACGTGACTGTGAGACAGATCAGAAAGACGTGACGCCACCGTGTCGTTCTGGAAACCGGACGATAAAACGTTTTTTTTTTTTCTTCTTACATTCGTCGCGGCTCTCCACTTCGATCTCCACCTCAGAGTCTCGGTCCTCCTGAGGCGGCGGTGGTTTGCTGGTGGCGAAGGACGGAGGACAGGCGACCTCGGGCGTTGGAGGCGGGGCCTCCTCTGTAGCTCTCCTCTTGCGAGGCCTGGAGTTGGCGCCCTCGCCTGGGGGTTCACCTCCGCTGGGGTGGGAGACGCTCGGCACCGTCGGGGACACGGGCCCCACCTTCCCCACGGGCAGCGGCGTGAGGGCCACGTTGGGGGCCACGGCGTTCTCGAGGCTCTTGTAGTTGTAGAAGCTGGAGGGAAACCAGACGAGCGGTGAGCCACATCAAAACCTGGACCAGAACCTCCTGATTAACATCACGTGTGTTGATCCTCCGAACCTCATCCTCAAAAATAAACATTTAGATTTTAAAAGAAGTTCATCTTGAAGGAACAACAGAAGTTTTTTGTGACTGACGCCGATTCATAACAACAAATTTTTAATATGTTGCCAAACTAGAATTTGAGTTTTCTCCACGAGTGACGCCGACTCTCTGACGTTTTGGATGACTCTCAGCTACCACCACACCGAAGTTTAGCTCAACATCTGTAAAATTAGCTGCAATGGCCTTCCTGTTCTTCTTTCTTCTTGTTCTGTCTTGAACAGGTCTCTCTTGTAAATGAGTCTAGCCTGTACATAAATAAAGGTTGAATGGAAAAACATTTTCTTCTTCGGCTTGGTTTGTGCACACTCGAGGAAGACGACGCTCCCACCTGCTCACGATTTAGTTTTATTGAAGAGTTCTTCTGAAGTTGTTAAAATATATTTCTTGAACTGGAGAAATGGAAACAGCTGGAAATATTTTCATCGCTAAACTTTGAACCGCTGACATTTGCTGAAAGTTCACATGAAGCTGAAATTAACTGAAAAGTAGCCGAAAAGGTTGACATCAGTAGAAAAGTAGCTTAAAGGAACTTAAAATTTGAAATTATTAGTAAAAAGCACAAAAAGTGAAAATTGGTTAAAAGAAGAAGAAAAAAAGGTGTGTGTGTGTGTG